TTTAGTAACACTGGCAAAGGAAAATTAAAAACACTAAACTATTCATTCTTAAAATGACTTTAAAAACTAATTCTGATCAGCTCCAACAGATGGCAGCGATGTTATAAATTAATAGTTTAAAATACCTCACATGTAGGATTGGCTCCTCAGAAGGATGTAAACCACGAGTAATTCTCTCAGTACTTGCATAAATAATATGAAATTTTGATATGATTAATTGGATAGAAGTGTACAGGGTAAACACAACATGAAATTCAGCCCCAAATAATACTTCCTATTTCAAAAATTAATAGCTTTTTATTCCAAAAAGTATTACACAGTGAGCATTGTCAAATAGATTAGTGTTGTACCAAGAAAGGACATCTGTGTCCAAGTTAACTAAATGGATCACATGTTTATATAAAACTCATTATTGCTTCTTGGTTTCCATTTTCATCTGTTCCTTTAGATGGGGACTGTTTTTATCTTCTCACTCTTAATTTACTCATTTAAAAATAATTTTACTTTCTCCTTTCACTTCTATTAAATGAACGTAACTGTTATCATTCTCTACAATGCTTTCAATTAAGGTTTTTCATTCTTGTTCATTGTCTTATCATAATTTTCCCCACAAACCTTTATTCTGCAGATGATAAAGAATGAAAACTATTGATAGAAGTCTCTTAGAGGTAAACCACTATTTCCCCACTGTTCTTTTTGTGATCCAAATTACAGTAAAACAACACTGATTATTTTAAGTCATGGGCATTGCTGGATGTCTTAGACTTTGAAATAGACTCCCTGTTTTTTCCTCTATTTTTTGCATTTGGTTGCATTTTTTTTTATGTAAACCTATTTTCCCCAAAATACCTACTGTGGGATGCGCACTACTTTACATGTTTGGGATGTATTGGTGAATTAAATAGAAAAAGATTGGATGCTGATGGTGCTACAGAAAATAAGTAATAACAAAGTAGGTGAGTTAAATAGTATRTTAGAAATAATAAGTCTGAGGAAAAGGTAGCAGGAAAGGAGGATTAAGAATATAAGTGTAAGCAGGGTGCAGTGGCTCCCTGCATCCCAGCCCCAAGGATCTCAAGTTCAAAGACAGTCTCAGACTCTTAGCAAGGCCTTAGCAACTTAGCAAGATCTTGTCTCCAAATATAAAAAAAGGGCTGGGGATATGGTTCAATGGTTAAATGTCCCTGGGTTAAATTCCTGATACTTGAAAAAAAAAAAAAGAGTATGTGTGTTTGTGGTGCAATTTTAAACACTGTGTTCACAGTAGTCCTCTTTGCCAAGGTGACTCTTGGAACAGTGACTTGGAGGGGTGAGAGAAAGAGCTGTAGGCTGTCTGGAAAAGAGCATCCCAGGCAAGAGGGCAGAAAAGCACTCTTGGAATTTGAATGCACTTCCAGAATATATCTTAATGTTTACTCCACAATATTAGCTTATTTGTAAGTAAAGGGATTTGTGTTTGTTAATAATTTTTTTAATATATATATATATTTTTAGGTGTAGATGGACACAACACAATGCCCCTATTTTTTATGTGGTGCTGAGGATCAAACCTGGGTCACACCCGTGCTAGGTGAGCGCTCCACCGCTGAGCCACAATCCCAGCCCTTGTTAATAATTTTTTAAACTACAATCTTATTTATGCATAACCCAACTACCTGGGAGCTTCCTATATCCATGACATATATGAGAACTCTAGTGGAGGTTGGGCAGAGAGGGCCTCTGAGAAGCCAAAGTATGTTCAGGTTCTCCTTAATGACTTTTATATAAAATTAGATACCGCTGGTTACCTGGGGGCCAAGCCTTTAACTTACAGAAAGGAAGGGATCTGAAGGGGATCTTGGCTGGGAGGACAGTAGAGGCTCTGCCAACCAGATACACATGCAGCAGTGAAAACTAACAACTGACAGCCTGTCAATAGAGGTCAACCTGCATCCCCAAGGGACGCCACCCACAAGCTGCACCTAGTAAATGAGGCCCAAGGTCCCATGGTCCGTAAAGAGCCCTGAGAACATTGTGAGGACCACTTATAATGATGTTCCTGAACCTCCTCTCCAAAGCTGTATGGTCAGTCACAAGGGTGGGAGGAAGGATTTTAGAAGATGCTAATTCAAATTCATTGCAAAAATTTTAAAGCTTTAGTCATGGAACAAGTAAAATTTGAAATGTCCAGAAAGCTGGACATAAGAAGGCTTATTCACAGAGAATACCATCAATAGGTAAGACCTTGGGCACCAGTTAAGGTTTTAAAGTCAAAAACCTTCCTCAAAGGGGTGGGGATGGTCTGCTATTTATTCATCATTGCTCATTGTCATGCCACTCTTGACATAAGAATCAAGATGCCTGAAAATGTGAGACCAAATGTATTAAATGACAAATTAATTTTCCCAAACTATAAAATACTATTTTTAAATTATAAAAGCATTTTAATTAAAAGAAAAAAAGCATTTGTCAATTTCACAAAGAAACATCACAAAGTATGTTTCTCCTTCCTCTGGCTGATTTTTTTTAATTTAGAAAGTTTAGTCTTTCCTACCACTTTCTCGGCCCAAACCCATTACATAAAGGAAATTACACCAATATCATGTATTATAACACACCAGTGATTGCTCAATTCGTGAAATGAACATCCAATTCTAGAAGCAGCCCTGACTGAGTTCAAGAGTTAGAAATTCATTTCAAGATGGGCGTTTAGGAGACAAGTTAAGCTATAACATACCCCCAACTGGTATATACAGTGCTTAAGTACATTTTTTAAAATTAGGCTATAGAATATCAGATACCCAAATAGCTACCAAATGCACACAGAGGACTTAGCTCTGAGCTTTTACCTTCTTCCTTTACTATATATACCACAGAAAAGCAATTGGGAAACCCTGGTTCCAAGTACCCTAGCAGCAAAGCTGCGGTGCTTGCTGGGGAAGAGGATTCAGTAGCCTATTCTTAAAGGGGAGGCTGGAAACACTCAACCATGCTGAGCTTAACAGGTTTTTTTTTTTTTTTTTTTTTTTATTTGAGTAGAAACATTTTCTATTTAAAACAAACCAGTCATCTGTGTTGTCACCGTGGTTGTGTCTGGCTTTAGTAATTAATACTTGGGGAGGTTTGCTGGAAGGATTGATAATGTGGCTTATCTGTGCTCATTCCTCTGGGATCTTTTTACTCCAGTCTTTAGCTTTTGGCAGAACATGTCAAATCTGACTCCTCAAAAACATTTATTTTCAGTACTTTTTAGTTCAAAGTAAAAACTCTTATAGACCTCAACGAACATCCAGGGAACCCCTTACCAATTACAAACTAGAAAATAAATAAATAAAAAAGGAATGGACAGTATATAATAGGTTTAAAAAGCTGCAATTAAAATTTGAGAGGAAAAAAAAACTTAACAAGAATAAYAGCAAATTACAAAACTAAAGTTGACTATAGTAGAGAGAGAGAGGTTAGTCACTGTTCAGTCCTAATTGACCTTTCTATGTTGAAGAAATGGAACATAAAGTCAGAGGACAAAAATCTGTGACATAGATAATTAAATTGAAAGAGAAAGTCTGAAGCCAGCCCTTTTAGAACTACCTACCAACCTAATTGTCTGTGATTTTATACAAAACTGTGAAGTGATATAAGCCAGACAAACTCACATCAAATCAAGGCATCTATACACTCGAGGGGCCTATTAAGAATTTTAGATAATATATAAATCTAAGTGGACTAGAGATAAAAATGTTTTAGTGTCACTGTAAGATTTTTGGTAGTGGCATGACTATTCTGGAAAAATTACAGAATATGCTATCTTCAAATTACTACTTCCTACGACTCAATATTCTAGAAATTTATGTGCTTTCACAGAGATAATCGGGACCCTTAATTTAGGAAATTATTATGTCAAAGATTGTAGCTGACAAAAGAGCACAGTTTCATTTTGATGCTATACATTTCTGCTATTTTTAAAAAATCAGGCTTTGTTAGAATTTTAGTCATTCCATTAAGGCCTTATAAAATATTTGTGTGGGAGTAGAGAAAGGGAAAGAAAGGTTGAGAAATAGGTTGAATGGGGGAAGAGAAGGATGCATTTCAGGTTAGGAGAAGGTAATCTTAGTCACTGTGTCACAAAACAATAATAAATGAAAGTTAACTCACATAGCAAATGAGATGTAAGGAGGGCAAATAATTATTTTATTTATGAAAGTTGCCTTCAAAAAATTCTTCCTGTTTTCTAAGGCAATCTTATATTCTATAGAGGAAAGATCAGACTTTACAATTTGACACATTTGGGTTGAATTTCCAGCTCAGCTATTTGGTGAACATGTGCATCCAGGAAAACTAGGTAAGCATGCAGAATCTCAGTTTCCTCATTTGTTGATGGGTTACTTTGATAATGATTATTATTTTTTGTGTGTGGTGCTGGGGATTGAATTGAACCCAGGGCCCTGTGCATGTGAGGCAAGCATTCTACCAACTGAGCTACATCCCCAGCCCTGATCATTAATTTTTAAGTTGAATATAAATCACAAACCTCAGTGCTCATAATACAGAGGACATTCCTGCCCCGCAAACATTCTTCATGGCATTTGTCTATAATATGTTCCTCTTAATTGACTTTTAAAAATGCTTCTATACTTTTCTAATGCTTACATTTTTCTTTCAAAATGGATCTTTTACATTTTTATGGATTTATCAAATGTTTCCAGGTCATTGTCTGTGCTGATAGTTCCAGCACTGTCCACATTTTCTTGCACCAGAATCATCTACAAGAGTTAGCCTGGTGCCTGAAATGAATGCCCAGCATGTTTCCCCAACAAACTTGGAAATTCCTAGCTGAGATTTTGTAATATCTTTGGAAAAACAGGCCAATCTGATGATTCTATTTTCATAAGGGATCAGGAAGAATAATGTAAGATGATCTCTCTGAAAAAAACATGTAACTATCTTAAAATATTAAAACTAAGACAACTTAGATCATGGAATATCCTTGACAAGTCGGGGTCCAGCAGCAGTTTTGCACTTACTTGGCATTGACAGGATTGCAAGTGGTCAGGTTTGCCAGGGCCAGGGCCGAGGCCTCCCTCACCTCTTCATTGTCACTTCTGAGCAGCTGAACTAACTGTGGGATCCCTATGGATAAAGAAAGGCAAAAAGAGATTTTAAAAATGTTCATCTACACTAGACTATGGTAAACTAAAAAAGTTCTAAATGCTTGTTTCAAGTTTGCTTACCCTGAGTATTGAAAAAATCTTTGCTGCTTGAATTCTCAGACATTGCTGAAATAGCTTGGGAAGCAGCAATTTTAGTTCCATCACTTTCAGAACCCAAAAGGGTTACCAGGCACTTTTCAACCTCAAGTTCATGAAAAAGTTTCCTATTTTCAGCTTTCAGAAACCAAAAGGAAAAAAAAATCAGAATTTGACTGCAAAAAAATATGCAAGTATTACTACTAATTCCAAGCAATACCAACTGTTTGCTAACTATAGTGCCAGACTCTAAATTAAACAAAATATAAAACTACTTAACCTTTAGAACAAAGTGATCATACAAAATGAGTCACGGATGCTACCTTTCCCTCTTGTTCCCTTAAATGATGTATATCAATACCATGGCAAAGAAAATTCTGTAATAAGGAAGAGGTGAGTTATTAGATACAGCAGGCACTTATTTAACACCAAGCACATGCTAATATTGTTCACATACTGTGTTTTCTCACTAACAACAAGAGCCTATTTATTTGATGGTTATTTTAAATACAAAACCCAATATCTGAAGAATGCATATAATGTAGAAACTGGTGGGCTGGATGCCCAAGACTTCAGGAGAAGCACAGTCAAGGGCAGGGGAGTAGCAATCAGAGCTGGAATATGTTCCTGAGTCTTAAGCACGTTACAGTCTTATATCAAAAACTCATAATCATCTTTTTCTCAAATTACAATACATGCTTAACTAGCAAAAATTGAAACAACTATTTCATTGATAAATTAGCACAATTAAAATATATTAAAATATTTCTTTATTTGAAAATAAATTTATGATTCTATAGTCATATTGTGATATTCCTCACATTATTAGACACTAGATATATTTATTTTTTGAGTCCTGGATCAAACTCAGACCCTCATGTGTGGTAGGCAAGCACTGTACCACTGGGATACATCCCCAGCCTGAAGAGAAAGAATTTTTAAGGTTCTTTAGTTCCCTAAACATTTTTTTCTTTTGACTTAGTTTGATATTGTAAAAAATAACTGACAGTCTCATTACTATACTAAATATTGCATCAAACTAAGTTAGAACTTATTTTTCATTTTGTGTTCCATTAATTATGTCTTTAAAACATTTTTTATCCTACTTAATTCTAAATCAGTTATTATCTTTTTAGGGACACAAAGCCCTAAAGCCATAAAGAGGTACTGGAGATTAGTGTAGAAAAAAAAATCTACAAATAATTCCTTGCTAAATTACCTCCAGTTTCTTCAAAAAGCTTTTGTGATATACTTGATTCTCCACTACTTACCTTTGTAAAGTTTGTGAAATTAACCTTTGATACATTCAATTTTCATAAGTAAAATAGAACTTTATGTGAATATGTGCTCTGAAGATGTAGGAGAATATTCTGTTAGAATGTGCAACTCTGCCAAAACTGCTGATAATAATTTATATTACAGTCTCTACATATGGAACTAATTCATTGCTTATACATATTTTAATTAGCTTATTTTTTTCCAGAAAGATTTTCAGACATTAACAGCAACTAGGTTTCCATTTTAAAGTTATGATTTTTCCTTTCCTTCAATAGTGATACCAAAAATGATCACCCCTTTTCACAGAAGTATCACAGTCTGATGGACCCCTATTTGCAAATCAATTTTGCCTTTGCTCATCTGATGCACAGATGTATACCAGGCAATCTGGCCCAAACTGACACAGGCTAAGTTACTAACACTGCTGCTCATTCATCTTAAACCAATCATGAACCATGTCCTGTAATCCTATCATTTTAATCCCTTGCTCCTTTCATTTAACATTAGAATTCAGGCAGGTCAGAACTGTGTTTCATAAAAAAAAAAAAAAAAAAAGCTGCGGTTAATACTTAAATCTCAAGTATGTGACTCCTAAAATGTTTTACAATTTATGGAGTCCTTACTGGCTTTCACTGAAAAATAATATTATCTGAAACTTTTCCAGAGCCTCTGACCTAAAATGCTTAGATTTATCATTAAGACTTCCCTGATGGTTCTAAATCAAATTCCCTAAACAGAACACTCTTAGCACAGATTCTATCAGGAAAATTGGCCAAAATACAGTAGTAATTTATTTGAATAGACTGACTTTGGAGTATGTAATTATTGCATTCAAAAAACAGTATATATGCAATTATTGGAAAGATTTTTTTAAATAATTTAAATAAATACTGTGGGCAATTAGTTTCTCAACCCTGCTGGGAGTGTTCTTAAAATCCAGCTGTGTTCACCAAACCTCCAAAGTGCTGACTGCAGCGTGCCTATAATAGATTTAAAAGATGAATTAACATATTAACCAAGTACTTTCATTGAATTGCTACACCAAGAAGTAAAGTATTTGTGCTTTAATTACACAGATAATAAAGATGGCAAGACAGTTATGCTACTAATAGAGTAATGGCCTTTACAAATAATACTTGTGCAGTATCACTAAAATAAAAAGCATGAGGTTTTGCTGCTAAAAATAAGTGTGCATGTAATGATGCTTTTCTTGCCTCTGCTCAGAAGTGGCTATTGTGCCACCTTTGCTCCTGCTGAGATGTTAATGCCAGTTCATAAACCTCGTGGCAACATGGTAATTAACACCTTCTTCCTACTGGTACCAGGTCAAATGCACACTGACTTCGGCTTCCCCCAGCAGGGAATGCATGTTAAAACTTTCCTCCACAAACAAAACTTAAAGAATGCGTGTGACACATGTGTGTGTTCCAACTGCGTTCTTGACACACATTGACGATGCATGACCACATCTTTAAAAAAAAAAAAGTGTGATGATAGAAAGTAAAAGAAAACTAGAAATAAATATTGATAGTTACATTTGTCTAACAGTATAAGGAGTAAGATTTGTCCAGACCTACATAGAAATGGAGTTTTCTAATGGGAAAAAGTTTAATACCTTTTCATGAATACTGATTTTCAATAAAGAAATATTAGGAAATAACTTTGTGAATCCTTAAGTTTTAGATTTTGTGTTGTAATTAATATAAAATAAAACATGTCTAGTTAATTGACTGGGTCTGGCAGATAGAAGTCAAAGCAAGCCAAGAATTTACACACACACACACACACACACACACACACACATATATGTATATATTTCATGTATATGTGTGTATGTGTGTGTGTATATATATATATATATATTTTAATGGATGAGAAATACAAGTAGGACCTGAAAAGAAGACAGAGTCTAGAATTAGGCACAGAGGAAGAGGATCTGGCCGGGTTAACAGAGTTAAGAAATAAATTGATAAACATAAAGGAGAATAGTCAGGAAAATGAGGAAGATGCCAACCTAACCAATTGCACTGTCCTTAGGGATGTTGACTCTGGCCAGGTACCATATTGAATTCTGATGAGAAACAGGCAGTTCTGCCCACAGATGCTATGGTGAAGGCAAGCGGCTTGAAATGGAGAGATTTTTCTCAATCCCCTGTTTTTCCAATCAGAAAAGGAATTTAAGAATTTCTTAAATTTCTTAAGAATTTCTTGGGATATGTAGACAGAGAGAAAGCTTGAAATGTTGTAGAATCATAGAAATATCAAGAATCAAGCTTTCAGATCTCCTAGGCTATGAGAAGATTAAACTATTTAGACACTGAATTTGAAGATGCATTTGACATGCTTTTCCAGTGTTGGTATAGTCACCAAAGATGGAATCAATTTAGGAAGGAAGGAGACTATGCCAGAAGGGATGGAGGAAGGTTACCAGCTGAATAAATTGAATTGTAAAAATATGAACTTTGGGGCTGGGGACATAGCTCAGTGACAGAGTGCTTGCCTAGCATGTTCAAGGCCCTGGGTTCCATCCCCAGCACCATGGGAGTGGGGCAGTTTTTACAGTAATAAATGAAACCTGTGAGAAAATGGCAAAGGAGGAGTACTGTCAAACAGAGAGGTAGTTGGCTTACTGATGTTAGGGTAGATGTAAATCTCTCCTATCTGGAAATGAAGGTTCTGCTAAACAATGGAAGTTCACTTTTATGCTGTGCTTGCTTGGTATTCCATAACACTAGTGTCAGCTTACTGTGGTTCATGCACAGGTGTTTGCTTTAATTCATCACTGTAGGGATGGACAAAGGCATGATGTGAGAAAACAGATGACAAAGGTCTGATGTGAGGAAACAGACATTTAAAGCAGGCTGAGCTGTACTAGATTCAATCATATGGAAGTATATATTTTAAAGAGAAACTAGTTATTTTTTCTGATACCTTGAAATGCAAGGACATTAGAAAATTTGATTTCTCTCTAAATCTATCCATTTGAAGAACGAAGATACCAATAAGCCAAAACAATATTTCCAAAATTAGAAACAAAATCAGAGCAAGTTGAGTATAAAATTAGTCTATCCCAAGTTATATGTTTCAGAACACAACAGAGTGTCTTGTCTAGAACAAGTTGATAACCAATGCCTGTGTGATTGTAGAACATAGGAAAAATCTCTACTGCCAAATGATGTTATCTGGTTCTGATCCTGTTTATTCTACTCTAAGAGTTGTTAATTTGGGGACCATGAATTCTGAAGTCAGATGAACTTCAGGCAGTCCAAGAACTCCCTGAAATTACATGCAGAGTATTGTGCACATGTAAATTTAAGAAGGTTACTCTTTGACCAGATTCTCCGAGGACTTCAAGACTCCTCAGAAGTTGTGTTTGGGCAATGTCGTGGGATGTGCTTGGGAGCTGTCAGAAATACAGGCAGGAATTCAGAAGACATGACAGAATTAGAAACAGTTTGGAGATTTGTAAGCAAATAAGGAAGCAGTTGAAACATGAGTCATAAGTGAGATTGCACAGGGAGATTTAAAAAGAATATGATAGAGGACAGGAAGACAGGTATAATTCTGAAATGGTCAGTAGAGGAGAATGAGCTGGTAAAGGTGAAGGGGTTGGTCTGAGAGTTCATTAGGAGAACAGTCAGAAGAGAGAAGTGGTGTAGAAACTGAGGGACAAAAAGAGTTTTTAAAAGGAAGGATAATCAGCAGTGGATGCCACACAGAAATCAAGCTAAAAAAAATGAAGATGTATCTTTCTTTAGAACTCAGAGTTAAGGAATTAAGAAGTCAATGTCAAATTCTACAAGGACTTAGTTTTTGAAAGAGAAACCACAAGCAGGCTAAGCGATGGATGAGATGAAGAG